GCGTAGCCAGGGAGATAGCTCAGTAGAATAAGCGCTTGTCTGGCAAGCGCAAGGGCCTGAGTTCAATACCTAGTTCTGCAAAAAAACAAAACAAACAAAAAAAAAGATATAGGCGTAGTTATGATTAGAGCTGTCTTTTCTTTCTTTTCTTTATTTATTTATTTATTGGTACTGGGGATTGAACTCGACCTTGTGCTTCCCAGGCAGGCACTTTCGTGTCTTTTCTTGTTCCACTAGCCCTGCTTTAAGCTGCATTCCTGCCCACTGTTTCCTTCCACAGCAGAGGGAAGCCTGGAGACTCTGGGCTCCGGAGGAAGTGAAGGGGGCGGAGAAAGCTACCCGAGGGCGGAGCCTTCAAGCATTTCTGCCTCCCCGCACTGAAGGGTGTGGTGCTGGCCGGAAGTACAGGCTGCAGGGCGAGCCTATGATGGAGGGCGGCTGACCGCTTTCCCCCCTTCCCCCAGCTCCTGGAGCAGTCGGAGTGGCAGCCCACGAACGTGGATGGGAAGGGGTACCTCCTCAACGAGCCTGGAGTCCAACCTACGTCAGTCTATGGAGACTTAAGCTGCAAGGAGGAGCCAGAAATTGACAGCCCTGGGGGTGAGAAGCCCTTGGAACCTGTAGCTTTTCTGGCCTTTTTTGCTTTGCTGTACAGGGGATTGAATGCAGGGCCTTTGCACTGAACTACCTGCCCAGTCTGTCTGTCTGTCTGTCTGTCTGTCTGTCTGTCTTTTTTTTTTTTGGTGGTTGTTGCTGGCTCAGTCTGCCCCAGGGGCAGGGCTGGCGCAGCATGTGGTGCTGCAGATCAAACCTCGGTCCCTGTGCTTGCCTAAGCTTGCCTAAGCAGGCGTTTTACACTGCTAGGCTATCTTGCAGGCCCTGCCCAGTCTTTCTATTTTTTATATTTTGAGACAGATTTTCAGCCATTCTGTTGCCTGGGGATGGTCTGAACCTGTGGTCCTCCTGCCTCTGCTTCCCAAAGTGCTGGGAGGATAGGCATAGGTCTTTATGAGACCTATGCCTATCCTGGAGAAAGGAGGCCTCCTCATGGGGAGGGGTGATACTTGGGGGCAGGGCCAGGTAAACCATCCTTCTCCCAGTGTTGATGGGTATAGACATCCTGGGGGTAGCTGCTTCTCTGAGTGTACCTAAAGATGAATGGGTGTTTGCTGCTGAAGTGTAGACAGCAGGGCCGTGTTGGTGGCATTGAGGGACAGAGCTATGGAGAGGTGCCATGGGGAAGCCATCTTACCTCCCTATGCCCCTCCTCATACAACTTTGCTCCCCCCTGCCAGGTGACATCGGGCTGAGCCTGCACCGCGTCTTCACCGATCTGAAGAACATGGACCCCAGTTGGCTGGACAACTTGCTGCCCCCCGTCAGGCTGCCCTCCATCCAGCCCATACCCTGTGCACCGTAGCTGGACCCCAGCCCTTCACTCCTAGGCAATCAGGACCTGGTGTCATGGTGGCTGTGTGCGGAAAAGCTGGACCCTGTGACCCCTGAGTGTGGCAAATCAAGACTACTCTGCGAGAACAGCACCTTCCCCCCTTGGGTCAGTGGCTACTCAGGACTTGCAGGCTGGGGCCCAGGCTTGTCCTGTGGGGTGAAGCTGATTTAGCCTCTTGGGAAGATGGCAGAGGTTCTGAGATGGTGACTCCGGTGGAGACTGGGACAGGAGTGGCCTCCTACTGGAGAGGGTCTCATGGTCCTGAGCTGGTCCCCAGGAAATAGATCGGTGATCTTAGAAGAGCACAGCGCCAAGCCCAGGCTGGCTCCGCCTAAGAGACAATTGCACTAATTGAGTCTTAGTCCCAAAGACGCACCTTCCTTCCCAGCTGCGCCCCGGGGACTGTTCCAAAGCCAGTGAAATGTGAAGGAAGAAGGGATCTGGTGTGGTGGCACCCCGCAGCCCCAGAGCAGCCCTGCTCCCTGTTCCCTCCTCTGGCCGAGGGCTTGGGAACAAACACGGCACTTTCTTGTGGACCTTGCCACATTTCTCATCTGAGGTGTACACTAATGTTTGCCCCCAGCTCTTGGCCTTTGTGTTTATTTATGTAGTGCCTTGCCCAGTGCCCACCACCCCGCTGAAGCCCTGGCGCTTCCAGGGAGGGATGTGTGAGCGCCTTGGTGTGACAGAATTGGAAATGCCATCAAACCACCAAGTTGTCTGTGACCAAATATGGACACGTGTGTAAATATGTACATTTATCTTTTTATAAGAAGTGCCTTGTTTATAAGGGGCTTGGCCTTTCATTTACAAGGAGATTATAGTTGGTTTTACTTTCTATGGAGACTGGCGGACTCATTCCGGGCACTGCCTGTGTCTGTTAGTCCTTTCAGTTATGGTCAGAGAAGGTGGCTGGAGGAGGGGACCCTCTTGCCGCAGAGATGTGCTCCTGTAACCAGTTTGCTTGGCCTTGACTTTACAGCCGCAGCTAGGAGTTGACTGTGAGCCCAGGGGCATGGGGCACCAGGGTTGAGGAATGTTCCCTGGACTGCGTGTCCTGAATATGTAGGTGCCACTTCAGAAAGTGCAATAAGCAAGCACGTGCCCGGCAGGCACAAGGGCCCGAGTTCAATCCCTGGTTCCACCAAAAAAAAATGCAATAGGGAGGCCCAGGAAGCGGCTAAGAAGTCCCTGAGGCTGCGGTGGCCATGTGCCAACTGAGGATTGAGCAGCGGCTGGCAACACGGGAACTGCATTTTACATTGCAGTAAATGGCCCCATGTGGCCGGTGGCTATGACTGGGCAGTGTTGGTGGATACTAGCAGGGAGCAGACCTTGATGAAGAGCTTGGAGGTTGGAGGACATGAGATGGCCTGAGGGCTATTATCTACTTGCCAGCTGGAAAACTTACTACTGAAAAGCCAGTAATGATGGTGCTAGATACAGAGCCCATCCTTGCCCTCATCTCCATCTGGGAGGTTTATATTGTAATCCCACAGATAGATCATGGGAATCCCACCAAGTTAATTCCAATCCACCACTTCCAGTGCAACCCACAGTAAGAATAGAGACTAAATGTTATAATTATGGGGAGCCAAGGAATCCTGAGCCCATCCATGGTGATGGCTGTCCAGCATAAAGGCCTTAACCTAGGGCCAAACCTGTGTTTTATTCAGTCATGGAGGAGTGGCTTGAGAATGGCAAGGAGTGGGTGAGGGCTGTGAGCTGGGCTAGGTAGGAGGCCTGCATTTGCCTCTGTCAAATGCAGAGAAGGATATGCAGACGTGATTTGCATTATACTATTGAGTATCTAATGTTTTGGGGCTCTAGCGCTTCAGCCCAGATGTGTAATCTTTCATGCCCCAGGAAGTCAGCCTCTATCTTTGTTCCATCCCAGCTGATGGCATGGAGCACTGGCTCTTCCTCCTGTCTCAACCCAGCTTATTAAAGAGCAGCAGGTGTGGGTTATCAGGGAAACACGTGTACAGTCTTAAAAGACTACCACCAGCACCTTGGCTAGACCGATATGCATTGCTCAAAGCCAACTGAAGGGACAAAGAGAAGTCCTAGCTGGCTCTGTACATAACAGTGCATGGAAGCAGGGTGAGGCACAGCCAAGATGGAGGCGACTGCTCTTTAAGGGCGCGTCGTCCAGGGGGCCCCTCCACACTGAATTGGTATTCCAGCCCTGCCATGTACTATGAGGCCTCGCCACGCATGAAGTCATCAAGACTTGAGTGACCATGCGTGTAGATTTTTTTTGAAACTCGCATAGTGCACACAATCACGCTTATCAGCATACTTGATCAGTATCTGAGAACCATAAGGAATTAGTATATGACAGGCCCTCTTAGAAGAAGGCCCAAGTGACAGAATAAACAAAGGTCTATAGACTGGGCTTTGCCCTCTTCCTGGTCTCTGGCATGAATGGCACCCAGTGGGCAGTAGAGCAGGTGGCTGGTGTCAGTGATTCCACTTAGAACAGGGTTATGGCAGGGAAAGTTGATTGGGGATACCAAAGCTCTGGGGATGCATCTTCCATGTTCTCCCAGACACCCCTGGGACTGTGGCCTCAGGGGGACCAGTGCTCTGGAAGCAGAGTGGTCCCTTGGTAGGAAAGGGAGGCTGATGGAGGAAAGGAAAACCAGAAGATGGGTAGGAGTCAGTCATACTCTGCCAAACTTAGGAAATGGACTTAGTGAGTACTCTTACCCTGGTGTTGCAACAAGTCCCAAGCGCAAGCCCTGTCCATCATAAGGTCCACTTGGATTTTTCAAGAGTAGCCTCCCCTGGGGGCAGGGAGATGGACACTAGCCTTTTCTAGCTCCTCCAGCCCTTGTTATGAACTAGATCATGGAGGTTAAAACTTCCTATGGCCTCTACCTAGGGTTATGTAGTAGGTGTTGGCTGGGGTGATGGTGTGAAGCCTCAGTAATGGAGAGAAGGGATGCAGCCCCTAAGAGTAGGGTCCGCTTCTGATTATTCTCCTTCACCTTCAACCTGATCCCTGAGGAAGGGCAGATGTGGGGTGATGAAGTCCCAGGCAGCTATGGAAACCTTCCAAGTTGTAATAAGCAAAATTCACCATGTGTGTATTACCAGAACACAAAAGGAATTATGCTGGTTTGCAACCTCCAGGTCAGGAAACCTGATCTTTTTTTTTTTTTTGATCTTTATTTGTGTGTGTATTTGGTACAGGGTCTCACTACGCAGGTCGGACACGCAGTGATTGTCCTGTCTCAGCCTCCCCAGCCCTGGGATTGCAGGCATGCACCACCACACCTGGTTTTGGTGGCTGGCATGGTGGTCCAGGCCGGCATGGCATGTGGTACCAGGAATCAAGCCCGGGTCTTTGTGCTTGCCAGGCAGGCGCTTACACCGCTGAGCTATCTTCCCTGCCCAGGAAACCTGATCTTTTAACTCTTGGTTCCAACCCCTTGAAGTGTCCAGAGAAGGACCCCAAAACTCTGTACCCACAATTGCAAGGCAGCTGGGTTCCAGGGAGCATGTCTAAAAGAGCATGAGTTTTTAGTTTTAGTCTACGTACTTCCAGTGGGAGCTCTTGGTTGAAGGAACTAGGAGGTCATTGAGGGAGGAGCTTCGTTGGGATTGCAGCGATATGGTCATAAATGACAACTTTCTAATGGGGTACACTACCAAAGGGGTACTCAGGTGCAGCAGCTGGCACCCATGATGGGCCAGTCTAACACAGGGCATCTCTCATGGGCCATAAGAGTTTCCTTATTTTATTCCAAAGGTGACACTTTAATTGGATTGGTTTTGTTTTTGGGGTTTTTTTTTGGTGGAACCGGGGATTGAATGACTCAGGCCCTTGGGCTTACTAGGCAAGCGCTTATTCTACTAAACTATCTCCCCGGCCCTGGATTAGTTTATTTATTCAGCTACTTGCAGTAGCATGAAAGTTAGAGGCTAATATGAAAATCATCTTTTCCCACAAAGTGAGCTCAAGGCCAGCCTGAACTGCATAGCAGCGCCTGTCTGAAAAAGATCAAAAAGGTGGGCCGGGGAGATAGCAGCAAGGTCCCAAGTTTGATCCATGGTACTGCAAAAGAAAAAGAAAAAGAAAAAGAAAAAGAAAAATCATGCCTGTTTGCCTGTTGTATCAGCTTTTTGTTGTTGTTGTAATGGAGATTGAACTCGGGACCTTAAGCTTGCCAGGTACCAGGTGCTTATGCCCCCGAGCCATCTTCCCAGCCCCAGTGTACCAACTTTCAACATCTCTCCATGCTCGTCTAGAGCGCTGCAACCACCCTGTCTCCACGGATAAGAGCGTGCTCCCTGTCGCAAAGCTTCTAGTGGGGTCTCCCAGGGCACAGCTGAAACCCTGGGAAAAGCCGTGGGCTTGCGTGGAGGGGAGTGAGGCCACGTGGCCATGGAGCCGGGTCGTGCCCGAGCAGTCCTCTGGGACCAGTGGGCCTTCTTTCACACTGCTGACATAAATCCAACATCCCTTTCTCGGATGGAGGAGGAGAGTGTGGCCAGGACAGGAGGGTGGGTGTCCCTTCTTGTAGGCGAGTTAATGCAGCCAACAAAAAGCTTTTGTCATGCTGTCCTTCCTCTTCTCCTCTTCCTTTTTCTTCTCCTCCTCCTCTCTTCCTTGTCCTTCCTTTTTTTCTCCCCATTCCCCTTCCCTTTCTGCTCCTCCTCTTTTTCCTCCTTTTCATTTTTTGCGGGGGTTTTGCTCTGCAGTTCAGACTGGCCTTGAATTAACTCACTTTGGGTTCTTTCTTTCTTTTCTGTGGAACTGGGGATTGACCTCAGGTCCTTGAGTTTG